ACCTCATCCTGCACTGCACACAATTCATCAACCAGCGAAGAGATTTCCGTACTAGACTGGAGAGCCTTTCTCTGCCCTGGGATCTCTCCTCAGCTCTCGGCGGTGGGGATGCCCCAATGAGGAGACGCACTGCTGCCATCCGACATCTTGGTCAATATTTGCTTAACTGCAACATGGTGACCAGGCTGTAAATATGCTACCAAGCCTAATTGTACCTTTTCTTTTTTCACAATTCACTGCCGCACTGGCTGGTGGAGGTGCTAGAAAGTGAAGAGATCTAGAAGTGAAGCGAAGTGTCCAAAACCCCAGTTGTGCTCAGGCTGGGAGGTGTGCTACCGGCATACCCGAAGCCTACAAATCAATTATAAAAAAAAAAAAAGTGTAACTGTCATACTCAGATGAAGTTGAAGCAGATGAACGCGTCTAGAATAATCCACCGGCAACTGCTGTCGTCGTACTTAAGAACTGCCAGATGTGTTCAAACGTTGGCTAATTCAGCATGTGTAAAGTAGGTAACCACTCGATTCAAGATTTTAGCGTAGGCTAGCTATGACTCTGAGAAATTAGTTTTTTTTCATAGATATAGATTTATTAGGATGAACTGATATTGCCTGAATTAAATTAATTCATTGTCCATGGACTGTCAAAATGGAACGAGGTTTATTCTACCTACCTACAGTAGTAACAGTACCTACTTCATAAGTTCATGCAGTCTGCAGAGACAGCAGAGTTACAGTACAGTACTGAGTTAGGTACAAGAACAGACAACAGTAGGCTAGCTCATGGCCTCGTGCAGAGTTAGGTACGACTGTCATTGAGTCACTAGGATCCAGATTTCAGGAGTAAAGCCTATGAATTTGTTGCTGAAAAAAGCTGAAATATCATTCTATAACTTCAAGATTATTGCCTATAAAATTGAAAAATTTACAATCAGTTGAATCTTCATCACCTTTTGAGCTGCAAAGCAATCAATTTAATTTTATGCTGAGGCCTGAGGCTACAGCCTATGCCCTACAGGGCACAGGCCTACCCCTACTGCATTGCCAGTGCCAGAGATTTTAGGATATTTAATTTACTCGCAGCAATCCATGACTAGATTTTCCTGGTGACAAAGCAGAGAGTTTTTTGGACTCTTTCTTAAGTTTATTGACTTTTGAGGCCATAGGCCAAAACTTGTAAGTAGACCAGCAAACTGCAAAGTATCATGGATATCAGCATAAGCATCATCATACCTACATTAGGCTACATAAGATATTGGTTTAAATCTTGAGTAAATATGGAAATTGAATGAACTGATTCTTAACAACCTCTGCATTGCCACTATGGGCCCTGGCCACTGGCTATGGCCTATTGATAATTGATGATTGGTCTTTGCTGATTTTTATGGCACTAAACATAATGTTTGCCAATGATATAAACTTGATTTTTCAAAAGGTATCTTATTATCATTATTAATGTTATCATACTTGATATTATCTAGTTTGCATACGTAATTCAAAAGAAATAAATTAATTATCGACCCTTTATTCATTATAATGAATTACAAGATTATAGGCCTATTAATATTATATTTCTGCTAAATGCCTCAACTTGACCTTAATGAGGAAATTTATTCCAGTGCACCATGGGTTGGAGTTATTGGACTAGAAGTCCATGCCCAAATCAACAGCAGAAGCAAGCTATTTTGTCGCTCACTGAATCAACACAATGCCCCAGTCAACACATGTGTTGGCATATTCGACACAGCTCATCCCGGAACTCTCCCTGTCAGTGTTATATGAATGAAAGTAAGCTTTGTAATACTAGACTTTCTTATTGGCTATAATTACAATATATTAATTTTGGGATGAATAAACACAAATTTTTAGGTTGCTGTTGTTAGCTCATACCAGTACTCTATTATAAATAGCTAAATTTATTAAGTTAGGTAATTAATGACTGTAAACTTTTCTTTGCAAAGTTTACCTCTTACACCAAAATTTTTTTGTCAGTTACTCGTATCCACGAGTTTGATAAATCAAAAATAATGAGTTATATCATTTTTTACCTGCTTTGTTGTATATTATAGGAATAAGAGCAGTGATTTACTCTCATGTTTATTCCTCAGGTATTGAATAAAGCCTGTGTTGAGGCTGCGGTGCTCACTGCATTGGCTCTGGATGCTCAAATCAACCCTGTTTCATACTTTGACCGCAAGCACTACTTTTATCCTGATATGCCTGTAAGTGCATTTATGTCATTTCTGAACTTTAACATTAAATTTATATCTGTACTATGTAAAAGTTTGTGAATTTTTGCATTGCTTCTACTTGGTCAACATTTTTATGAAAAAAAATGTGTGCTGTTGTTGGCTAGTCCTCTACCTCATCTTTTTACCTCAAATGCATTTTAAAAGAAAAAGTGCAATTACTAGGGAAATGATGCATTTTTATTAGTATGTTCTTCTTCTTATCACACTGATAATCAAATTGCAATTAGTACATATTGTTATTTGCTTGTTGATACTGCATTGTATAAAATTGTTTGCTTACCTCACTATAAGATTTTATCTAACGACATAATATCAGATTTAACCTTGATGAATTTATCAGTTTTGATGGGCGATTTCTATGATAAATAGGAAATTGTACTAATACCTCATGATGTTTGCTATAATTTCTAGTTCAAGCTAGAAAAATGTACATTTCTCATGCTTTTTAAATCCACACAATAAAAGGTTAACGAGAAGAAGCAGAATCATACTGGTACGGTATATCATGACTAATGACAATATTTCCTCTTATATTGTTCTATGAAGTTTGTAGGTAACTATTATTAAAGATGTGGCAGAGAATTAAACAATTTCAAATAAACATGAATTGTATCAGTAGCATGGCACAGGTAGGTAATCATTTTCCACGATGTCTGCATCAGGCAGGCTACCAGATAACACAGCAGCGCAAGCCTCTGGCTGGACATGGTCAGTTGTCATTTGTGGTGATCCCTCCTGAAGGTGTTCCCTACGTGTGTAAAGCTCAGCTAGTTCAGCTGCAGCTTGAAGAGGACAGTGGCAAGAGCATTCACTCTCACATGCACAATAAGTAATCTATCTTGCTAAGTTTCACTGGTGATTGAATGTTGTGAATGCTGAAAGAGAGAAAGTAATGAATGAAAAACAGATTTGTTGTGTCTTAAATCACATTTTTTGGATGTGGGTGAAAATTTCCATTCCTTCAACCATAAGTACCTACTTTTTTTTTATCCATCTGTTTAAATAAAAAATGAATTGTATATGTACATTGAGCATTTTAAAAATACATTTCATGTAAAGTGATGTTCCACATAAACTAATATGTACAGTATACCTCAACAAATTTTATGGTAATGTTCAGAAAATAGGCAGGTTATAGGTTATAGGTTATAGCTGGTTTCTATTATAATTCATTTTTTAAACGAGACATGTAGTGCATAGATAGCAATTGCTTTGATAGGAAATTAGGAAGTATGTTGTTATATATGTATGAAATTACTATCTTTCATCAAACGTTTTGGATTGCATGTTATTCTGGAAGAAAATTCTGTTAAACTCCATGTTTAACAAAAATGGTTATGCTTATACTGATACTAAATATAGTAAATAATCACTTCAAGAAAACGTAATACATCTACTCTTAAATTTTAGTATATGTATTACATTAACAAATAAAGTGAATTCATAACATTGTGTTGATTTGATACGATTGCCAATATTAATTCCCATGGCCAATGTAATTTTTAATTCATTTTCCCTAACATCATACCGTAGTCTTATTTGAGGAATCTAATTTGTTCTTCGGTATCTATAGTTAATAATTAGGATGATCAAATATTTTCCTATGAACTGCAGAGTATTGGTTGACCTAAACCGAGCTGGAGTTGGCCTCATGGAGCTTGTGTTTAGTCCCTGTCTGCACAGCGCTGCAGAAGCGGCAGCATTAGTGCGACACCTTGCTCTAGTCTTACGCACCCTTGGTGTATGTACCACTAATATGAATGGTAAGTGTACATTGCTGTAATAAATTGTAGGCGATTCATTTCCGATGTTATTAGTGGATTTGCTGACTCGTTCTTATGTATGGTGTTGTTGCCCTATCCATTAATGTCTGTTCAAGTCAGCAAAGTGCTTGAACGTCTTCTTGAAATTACTTACTGAATGATGCTAGTAGCGTATGCACAAATTAGCCGTTCACTAATTTCAAAGCAAAGATCACAGTCTTACTGTTCAAATTTTTTGGCAGTTACTTACAAGTCTTATGCGTGAACTGTATTTGAACCTCTAAATTTAAACTAATTTCTGGATAATTTTGAAGCATTTTGCTCATTTTATTGTTTTTCCTGTTTCTTCTCGCAAAAATATGAATCTTATTAACTGTCATTTATATGGTGATTCTTTTCCTGCCACACTTTTAACACAACTTATAAACAATTTTCTTTGGACAGAGGGAGCCCTGAGAGTTGATGCTAATTTATCAGTTCATAAAGCAGGCAATCCCCTGGGCACCCGAACTGAAATAAAGAACCTCAATAGCTTCAGATTTCTGGTAAGATTCGCTTTCGATTCCCTTCACTTCTTTGTGAAATCTTTTCCTGGAAATTAGGACGAAAAATCATTTATTTCTTCAAAATTGTGGGCATGAAGGATTATTAAAAAACAAACAAAAATTATTTAAGTTTGTTCAAGAACCTAGTTAGGTATTTTAAGCACTACTGAGTGTGTGATCTTTCTCAGGAACAAGCCATTAACCACGAACTAGCCCGGCAAATATCCATCTTGGATGCAGGCGGTAACATCGTCAACGAAACGAGGAGTTTTGATCCTGACACTGGCACCACCGCCTCTATGAGGGACAAGGAGGGACTGCAGGTATAATAGTCCAGACTGGTGAGGTATCATACACCTGGGCCTCTACTGTCAAAAAAGTTAAGAGATCGTAAGTTCATCCGCCAGTCATTGACGGCCTTTCAAGCAAAATCCACCAATCATAGACAAGAAAATAGAGCGTAAGTACTTACGTTCACTTAGCGAGTTTTGAAAGCATGGCCTCTGTATATTGAATTGTGATACCACAGGCTTATGAGGTACAATATCCATGGTGGATGGGAACTGACTTGATCAACGGATTATTTTCACAGAATATTATCACCAAGCGGATCTTCATGATTTCTTTAAAATGTTGATCGTCATAATACCGGTTGTGAGATCGTGCTTTACATTCAGTTTTAAGGCGGGGTATTTAATTGATCTTGAATATCATTATTTTCTGGTATTCAACACATCGTGGTTTTGGGTTATTTGTGGCCATTGTTTTGAAATATTTAAATTCATGGTTGTTCAAGCACCGTAGTTACGATATTCGATAGTTCTTTTTGTTCCTCCTTAAAATTGTGTTCTTCTTACTTGACAAGCAAAAGATATTCAAATATCGAGACCGTTAGCTTTGCCAGCTTTGAATTTAGTTAACTGATCATAGCTTCATGTCTCTTTCAGTTCATTAATTGTGCTCTTGTATGTGTATTTCCAAAATCTCATTTTATCAAGTCAAGTGTTCATGGTTTAAAATTTAGTTGCTCTCTTTTTATCCAAGCTTGCGTATAATTTACATTTGTGCAATTATTTGTGCTATACAAGGAAAGTGAATTTACTGATGTACTAGTTGATCACCAGTCTGAATAGCTGCTCATTTCGTTGTGAGTAGTACTGAGCTGTATGAGGCACCAGCGTACCATAAATATTTTCTTTGCAGGACTATCGGTTTTTGCCGGAACCCAACTTGCCACCGCTTCGGATTTGCGACAGCAGCACGGGCAGCGCACCCTCCTCCCATGACTGCATAGACGTCACTGAACTCCGCCGACGTCTTCCTCTTCTACCCATAATTTCTCAGGAAACTCTTAATTATTTGTTGCATGGCTGCCAACTAAGTGCCAAAGACGCATCTAATCTCATGGTGCGTTTGTAATCAAATTTATGTTGTAAAATCATTTTTTAGTTTTTATTACTATTCTAATAATCTACTAATAGCTTTTCTATTTGCTTACACAAGCCATTCATGCTGTTCTTCTTAATTGATCTTTGTTCTTGATCTTTCAGACATATTTTGTTGGCGATCATCGAGTAACTCTGTTTAATCGAGTAACTCCTTATTCCTTTCAGCGATTATGTGAATTGATGTTATGATATAATTGAATTTAAATAAAACATTTTAAAATTATCCTCATTCTTTGCTAGCTTAGATATATCTTCTTTTCGTGCCAGATAACAATTTTAGCACGCATGTTTTTCCATTCCATCTGGAAGTTACTATTTCATTGCATACCGGTACTCTATTCTGCTTTTAATAAGTATTAGTCGAATATATTGGAAATGTATTTAGTGCCTTTTGACGCTGTGGTATCTCATTTATTATTAACCTCTATTATTCCACCATTAAAGTACATTCTTTCTGTGTTATTACTTCTTTCTTTATTATTCTCAATCAACACTGTTAATAGCTTGGAATCATTGCCATGTACTACGTAACCAATGTATTACTCTTGTCAGCATTTGCATCATTTCCTTGCCTTTTATAAAGGTTTCTTCATTTTTGTTACTATTTGTCTCCTGTGCAAACACCAGATTGAAGTTACTACAAGTTCTACCAACATTCCTAAGACGCTTCGGACGCAAAATCGCTGAATTAAAGCAATATTTGACGATCAATAATAAAAATATAACTCAGTACTGACCGCAGTGAGTGACAGAGAGCGCATTTTCTCGTTGACGAAAACGTGAAGTCACGGACGGACAGACAGACGGACATGGCGAGCACAATAGTGCATTTTTCCATAAAAGAGAAAATGCGCTAAAAACGAAGCAGAAACATATGTATGTGCTTGTCCGTATAACCTTTGCCTGGTCCCCCAGCTGAGGAGAGCGACGTGCGATCACTTACTGGCGACGGTGGAGGACGCGTGCGGTGCTCACGTGGCGGCGCACGACCTCAGCACAGTCGCTGCCGCGGCGTGCCTTCTGCTGCACTGCCACTCACGCGACATGCCTTCCTCAGTGTACGCTGTGCTGCTTCTAATAATACACATTTCCTGCTTTTAGTAATACACATTTCCTTCTTGCAGTAACACACATTTCCTTCTTCCTGTATTCCAGTATCCTCCGTGTACGTTGCGCTGCTTCTAGTATTACACGTACACGTGTCTTGCTTCTAGTATTACACGTGTCTTGCTTCTAGTATTACACGTGTCCTGCTTCTAGTAACACACATTTCTTGCTTCTAGTATTACACGTGTCTTGCTTCTAGTATTACACGTGTCTTGCTTCTAGTAACACACATTTCTTGCTTCTAGTATTACACGTGTCTTGCTTCTAGTATTACACGTGTCATGCTCTTCGTGGCTGTTTAGATGCCGACTACCTTATTGCTTAACCTCGATGATGGTCACAAACCACAAATGCTTGCATACGAATATTTTGTTTACTTTGACTCGCTTTCATGTACGCAAATTGTCCAAATATAACGATAGTAAAATTCTACTAAAATGAACATTTCCCGTCAATGTCGAGCATATTCATGTATGGGTTCATGTGTGCTTGCATGGATGTGCACCATTTGTACATAATGTAATGTATACTCTATTTCCTTATTTATTATCAGGCAAGACGACATCAAACTTCGGCTTCCATCACCAACGCTGTGGAGCTGCGCGCAGCTTCTGAAGGACAACCGTGTCAGGCTCGAGAACGCTAAGGAAATTGTCGCGATGATCGTGCGAGACGGGGACGCTCGATCTCCCCAACAAGTAAGATGATCACTATCGTACGGAGATAGTGTTTAAATCATATCACATAATCATGATACGCACGTTACGTAGATAATAGTGTTTAAATCGTATCAGATAATTATGATACATACGTTACGGAGACAGTAGTGTTTCCATCATATCATATAATCATGATACGCAACGGAGACGGTAGTGTTTCCATCATATCATATAATCATGATACGTACGTTACGGAGATTTTGGATCTTCCAGCAGGTAAGATGATAATGATCATACGTGATGGAGACGCGCGATCTTCCCAGTAAGTGATATCTATAAAAAGGATAGTGGGAGACTAACATGCTCGATGTCATCTTCCTTATGAATATTCCTCAAAAACATTAAAATACTCACTTCCTCATTTTCGGATCTTGTTGAGATTCGGCGCTCCTGAGGTCACTAAAAAGTGTCATGTGAACATACAGTTGAATTTTGACATGTTTTATTTCAAGATTTTTTATGGTATGATACATGTTTTTTCCTCGCTTCAGATTGCAGAGGAAGAGAATTGGCTGGTGAGCTCTGACGTGGAAATGATCGAGGCCGTCACATTGGAGATCGTCCGCAAGAACCCTGAGCTGGTGAGGCAAAATAGTGGTGGATAATTTGTTAACAAGCTACTGAAAACGGTGTGCATGCTCGCGTTTGACACTGAATAGCAAGGTATAGTGAACACACGCTCATGAAAAATGATTTTCGCCCGCGTGATTGATATTGAATGACGGAGATGTAAGAAACAGGTTAGTGAAAAGTGACAGAAAATTATGTGCGTCCTTGCGTAGAAGATTGAGAAGTTTCTGGTCAAATTAGGAAGTTCAAATTGATAACTCGTTGGTTGAATTGAGTTACAAGCTAAACTGAGAACTGGCAAATAAAAATGTCTGATGAAGAGTAAACCTAAGAGGTAGGAATTCAAACCAGCTGCTGGAATCTAGAATTTGTTCGTGAAAATCTGGACAGGTTTGTGGGCTATAAATAATGTGGATTATTATGTTCGATTGAGAGCTAGAGATAGATTGATTTTTTTTATAGATTGAAGATTTCTTTCCTCGGTGATTCTTAAGAAATTTCCATTAGTCAAGAATGCCGCATCTTGTCGCCATTTTACGCTGCATCTTGCCACCTTGTCTCATTTTCAGAACTGGCTGAATTTTGCACTGTTCGTTGTTTACAAATCCATATTTTGCGAACAAAGTGTGTAACAAATGTAGTTTGAAAGTCATAAAAGCTAGTGTAGTATATAATGGGTATAAGAATTAATATTGTTCGTGTATATTTCCCAGGTGGCGACCTACTTGCGACGGAGCAATAACCCTAAGAAACTGCGACGACCTCTCGTCAAGCTCTCCAAGCTCACGCGCGAGGCGCTCGGCCAAGACGCTGATGAAACCATCGTCGAAAATTCTATACGACGCGCCATACAAATGACGCGTCCAACGGATCCTGAGTGAACATCCGTCAAAATTTTTATTCGTTGAGATGATGGTGGGAGATGAAAAGCATTGTAAAGTTCTTATGCTCATGTTAGTCAGCAGCTTGATAAAAATAATAATAAAATTCAAATAAAAGTACGTTGTTTTTATTGAGAACGATTGCAAGCTCTTATGTTATTGTTGTTTAAGGAAAATGGGGACAACTTTGCTTGAGTGAATCTGCGGTCGATGCAGTGATGCGATCATCGTGTGATGATGCACAGTGAGAATATGTTGAACAATTTGCTCTACCTTTCGATGTTGTAATTTCTTGAATTTGCTTGTCGTCATTTGTCAATATAGTGATCACGAACGTTCTTTTTATTTATTCCGAATTTCTGCCATGTGAATGAAATGCGTCTATAGGTACGTAATGTCCAGCTTTAGTTACAACCTCCATTGCAAACCGAGTGGAAAATGTGCGCTCTATCAAATTTATTTACCGAAAAAATACACTAACTGTTACAAAGTTCTGTGCTAAAATTATGAAAAGTAAACTTGTATCAGTTAGATCGAAAACCATGAGTGCATCTATATGCATTTATGAAAAAGCTATACTAAGTAAGACGAATAAATACATAAGTCAAGACATGGTTAGATCGAAAAACATAAGTGCATCTACAAGCATTTATGAAAAGACCAAGTAAGAGGAATAAATACAGAAGTTAAGACATGATATCTTGAACTCTTCCTTTAACTATGGCTGGAATAAAAGTCTAAGGTGTGGCCTGAATCTGCACTCAATCCTTTCCGTCTGTGGTGCTACTCGTTATGCGTAAAAGTTTAATTCAACCCTAAATTTATTAAACAGCTTTACAGACTACTTAAAAAAATATGTAAAAAATTATTTTCCTCCGAGCGTGGAATTAATATAAAATACATCATTAGTTGACCATTTGTTCGTAATAGAGGCGTTACGGAATTTGTAATATTAGTATAAACTGGATTGAGTCCTTGGAGTTGAATAAGCTGCCATATGGCTGCGTATAGTAACCGCCGCTCATGCTCGTTGCTATGACGACCGTTGTCATGGAGACTGTTTTGAATGAAGAACAAAGCGGAAGAAGATGCCTTGCTAAGTGTGGCACTGTCGAAGGTTCATTGCTGGAACAAAGTCGACTATGTGTCTAAAGAGCTCATAGATTATCGATTTATTTTTCGTAATTTTAAAGCAAACATGTCTCAAAAATTGTATCACCAATGTTATCATTGCCGGCCACGAAACATTAAAAATATGATATGGGGAAAATTTCAGTAAATATTGTATGCAATATCCCTTCAGTTTATTGATTAATTATCCCCATGAATGCGGAGTAACATTTGAAAATAGACCCGTGCACTGTAATGCATCATTTATTTGAGTTATAACACGGCCAGTTTATTGGATGTCACTTATTGTCGTTACATTTATGAAATCAGAAGTTATTTTGACGAAATAGAAATGTATTTCCTCAATATTTAGAGTTTTTGCGTGATCAAATTGACGTCAAAACCGCACCACATTGATCTCATATAAAATGAAACTGATATTATTTCAAGTGCCTTTAAAGTAACGTCGAGGTCACCACCTAAATATTACCCTTATTATTAGAGAAGACATGCAAGCCGTGACGATTACCTTTATTTTTAACCCATTAGAACCTTAGCATTAGAAGCGTCCTGATCTTCGATCAAATCTCTCCTACAAATCACATTTACTTTGATGTAGGCCGCGTCGTACCAACCGCCACGATGGGTCGGAGTCGCCGGAAGGGCAGGAGTATGGGGGACAGACTGGCGCGCATGTCTGTGGAGCAACGCAAGCATTACCTCGAGAAGAAGGCGGCGCAGGAGGAGGAAGACCTCAGGAGACGCGAGGAACTCGTTGGGGCCTTTCTTAAGGTGGTGATGTTGTTGGGGCCTTACTTAAGGTGGTGATATTGTTGGGACCTTTCTTAAGGTGGTGATATTGTTGGGGCCTTTCTTAAGGTGATGATATTGTTGGGGCCTTTCTTAAGGTGGTGATATTGTTTGGGCCTTTTTAAGGTAATGATTAATTAAATAGATAACTTATAGGATCTTTCAATGGGTAATTTCAGAGGGTGAGAATTTCTTCGGTTAATTTCATAGTGTAATAATCGTATAATAATTGTTGTTAATCCGATGAGATGAGCGGAGGTGATTCATTATCAAGAATAATTTTCCCCCTGAATGATATTGCTGGATTTTTTTTATTTCATTTGGATATTAAGGTGGCTCATTAAAAAACTATATCATCTTATCCGCCCTAAAAAATTCTTATATATGAACAGCGTTTATTGTTGTCGTGCTGGAAGATTTACACCTTATATTTTTAGGAGTGTGAATTTTACTTTATTTCCAATAATTCAAATACAATGATTTACAGAGGAAATTATCCGACGAACAAAGGATGGGGCGGATTAACGAGGCGAAACTCAACACGAAATGGCGGACAATCTTACGACAGGCCAAAACCGAGTCGCTCAGGACGCAGCTTCAGGTCCTTTGAGTTCTCGATTCCAGGGAGAATTCATAGTATAGTATTGTATAACATAGCACTGTCGGCATTCATTAGGGCGTTAGACCTGTCGCTGATTCCTAACATTGCATAATTTTCACAGCTGGTTGCGGTCTCGAACACGCAACTCACTGCTCCAATTTTTCTGTACTTAATCGCCTGGTCTCCTTGTCGATTTGACCAGAACTGTCACAGGGATCTATGATCGAACCTACAACTCTTTTTGCATCAATCTTAGTTCTAAACGGAAACCACTGGCCCACGCAAATGCTTCACTCATGTTCCAGTGTTGTTACACGAGTTCCTGAGTAGTTCTTGTGTATTGTCTCAAAGATTTTCATTCAATATGCGAAGCTAAGGTTGGTGTTAGTGTTTTTGTATTTTTATGACACGTCCGTCAAGAAAATAATTAGTTTATTTTTCAACGTAATCAGAGAGATATTTTATCGCTGTCGTGCGCCCTAACCTAGAGTTTGGAAACGCCGTGCGGTCACCGAAACTTGAAAAGGACAAAAATTTAGCCGAGAGTGTTCAAGGACGTGCAACAAGGATAATTCCCGATTTGAAAGGCAAGTCCTATGAAGAAAGATTGTGAAGCTTCCAAGCCTCTGTTATCGACGTCTGTGTGGTGACCTCATTGAAGTATACGGCTTATGCAAGGTCACAGAAGGATTCCTAGAATTTGAAACAAGAACCAACACCAGGAGCCACGGTTTTAAGCTTAAAAAATTGCGTTGCAACACATCCACGCGATAACATTTCTTCTCGCTTCGAGTCATCGACATTTGGAACAGCCTCCCTGTTATTGTTGACTCAGAGTATTGAACGCCTTCGAGAGCAGATTAGACGAAGCTGTTCAGGAGCATATGTTCAGTCTTAAAATGCCTAGCACTCTACGAAACTAATAAAAGGCCATTGACGGTTTCGAATCACGTCAGTTGAAAAATATCTGGTCAAAAAGCCTGTTTTTAGATCTGTGAACAAGTCACGAAAAGCACAGGAATCGGCGACAGGCCAAACCAGGCCTATTCATTTAATGCCGAAGATACTATACTATAATACGTATGTTCCACTGATTTATCCGTTAAAAAAGTTAATTAAATGCTGGTTGCATTATCCGCGGAGATTCCTCTGCTGTAAATTAGCTGAATTTAGAAATTCGACATTCGATTCGAATTCGATTTAGGTCGACATGGCTTAATAGCTTCGACATAGTACACTATCAATTCGAGTGTAGAGAGTACACTCGAATTTAGTATATTGCAGGCGTCTTTGAAACAGGAGTATGGTTAGATCTTGCAGTGCGGTTTTATATTTAATTTACAGTGCCTGGTGCTCGGCACTGAGGACGCGGTCGCCGCACAAGACAGACTGGCTTACGTGTTGCGAGCTCAGCTGCAGCAAGCACACCAGCACCACACAACCGCTCTCAACGCCCACGCATGCGCTACCAACGCTCTCACCGGTTGGTTACTTAATGACTCCATGCATCCAAACAATGAATTGTTATACTATGATATTAATGAATAATTTAGTTAGGTTCATATGTGATCTCGGGTGCAGAGTCGCCCCTTGTGCTCAATGAGGTGCTGAAATTCCCCAACACGGATTATTGTCCTTACAGGTGAACATGAAGAGCAGCTACTCTCCCTCACCAAATACCTCCGACAACAGCAAGCGGCGATCATATCGGGATCTACAAGGGACCTGCAGGGCTTGTGCTCGCATTTCCTACACGAAATGTACCACCTGCACTTGGTACTGCTGGCCAATAAGCACCAACACGATCAGCGCTTGCTACAACGAACCCAACTACATCGCGACCACATGGACCTTTTAGCCGCGCAGGTTATTGCGTAGAAACGGATTGCGAAAAAATTCTTTGACAAAGTTCATCTGTTACGCATTATGAAATCACATCAGAATCATGCTAATTCGAGAAATAATTTTTTTTACAAATTTCCCCATGATACGTTTTTTTAATGCTATCATTTACCTCAATCAGGAAAAAATTCTTGTGTTATCTGAGCTGCATTTAACCTACTTGTGCTAATGTCTTGCCATGTCTTGCAAAAGTTATCCATAATAGTAAATTAATAAAGAATTACCCATTTATTATTACTGAAGAAAGAGGACGAGACAGCGATGCTGGTGTCTACAAAAAGAGCTGAGGTACAGAAGGTGCAGGAGCTGGTAGCCATGTTACGGCAGGAGCAGGAAGCAGATGTTGGAACATTGCAGGCAGAGTGTCAGCAAGCGCAGCTTAAGCTGCAGGAGCTGATGAAAACTTTACGTGCGTCTCAGAACGTCATCAGCAAGATGCAGGTGACACACCTTCGTTTATCCATTGGAGTGTGCGTTACGTTTCAAATGGATTGTAAATAATTTAATAACAAATCTTTCCGTAAGAAATCCGATTCAACTTAGCGGCGAACCGCTTATCGGCTGTTCAATAAATCAATGTTTGTTTAATCCACTAAGGCTTAAAAAATTAATTTGTTAATTGCAAATGTACTGTCCGCATTGTAACCTGGTCCACGCATTAGTTTTGCAAAATATTTACCACTTTAACTGTTCTAGATTCATGTTTTAAAATTTGTATGCATTTTTGGTATCTGAAGCTAAGGAGAAGAACATGTGTCATATTGTGGAATATACGAATAATTTTGCGCACAAATTTCGCTTACCTCAAGTTTGAGCTCGCGAGCGCTGGGGTGAGCGAGAGCTCGGGTGCAGAGTCGCCCCTTGTGCTCAATGAGCTGCTGAAACTGCGGCAGAGAGCGGCGCTCCTGAGAGCCGCTGCAGCGGCTGCTGAGGCGCAGAGCGAGACCGCCATACGCACGGCCAATGCCCGGGCTCGCGTAGCCACCGAAGTATGTTGACATGATGGAATAGAATAGAATAGAATAGAATAGAATAGAATAGAATAGAATAGAATAGAATAGAATAGAATAGAATAGAATAGAATAGAATAGAATAGAAGCAGAATAGAATAGAATAGAATAGAATAGAATAGAATAGAATAGAATAGAATAGAATAGAATAGAATAGAATAGAATAGAATAGAATAGAATAAAATAGAATAGAATAGAATAGAATAGAATAGAATAGAATAGAATAGAAGTGTCGGCATTGAAGAAAGAGGCCCATTGCCTGTTGCCGATTCTTGAACTTTTTGTGACTTGATTCACAAGGGATCCGGCCTTTGGAACCCGATCTTTCCATAAATGTCGATTGATTGGAAAATTTCTCGAAATTGCAGGTATTTCCTCAGCAATGAGTACAAATTGTGTGCCTGGCACTTACAGATATACTTCAAACTATTAAATTGTACGCCCCAACCTGAAAAATAATAATAATAAATTAATTAATTAACTCGGCAAATTTCATGTTAGGCATTTAACTAAAAATTTCTGTAATGCCAAATTCCTCGGGGCTTGCATACCGATAAATGGCATTTGTTAAAAACCCAAAACTTTAAATTAACATAATAAACTTTTTAGATAAAACTACAACGGACGGAAACGTTTTCAACAGAGGCTCGAGCGTCTGTTGTCTGAGGGTCGCAGTCTGCTGAAAACTTGGTTCCTCTGCTGCCGTCTGCAGACGGAAAAAGATCGGTTGTTGCCGTTCCTGCCAGCAGATCCGCGGATCGAGGCTTTGAGAAGGTGATGGAATTTTATTTTGCTGCATATTTTTTTCCTGCCTCGACACTTGAATGAGTCTAACAATTTGCATTTACATTATTTAAGATTTACTGCTTCGTTTACTGCTGATCGTTTACTGCTGACGTTACTCTTCAAATCCAGGCTTAAAGAGCTCATTCATATATATTATTTTTGACGAACTTAAATGATAACTGACGAGCGGATATAGATTTATTAAATCATAACTATACGATTTCCAGTTCGGAAAATTTCTTCAAATTCATTATTATTTGAAGTTGAAAAATGTATGAATTATTGTGTTTAGTTTCACTTGTTTACTTGGATTAAGGGCTCGATAATAACATTTCTCGCTCTTCAGGGAGGGTGTAACGTTAAAGGAAGTTTCGACCATTGAAGAAACTCGTATAAAAAGAACTCAAAATACGCTACTTCCTTCCGTCTCACGTCGTGACGAACTCCACGTCCAGGTAATGTTCTCCTACTTCACTAGTAAGCAATTGCAGTAAAAATTCAGTATAATTGTTATCCTGGCGCAGTCAACGGATTTCACACTCGCAATTTTCTTGTATGTGCGTATCTATAGTTCGAAATAATTTTTTCTGACAAACCCTGTGTAATTTTTACTTCACAGTCAGCGATAAGCAAAAGCAGTGGAGCATCTGACAGCGGTGTAGGTACTTCAGCGATCAGCTCAACCAGAGGCGACTGGTCCCATAGAGTCGGTGAGAAATACTGTAATAATATGATTTTATTCTAACACTTTAAAGCTCGAGGGAGACTTAAAAATGCGCCGTAAAATGGTCATATTGAAAACATTGCCCTGCACGACCTCGCTCTTACGCAGTGAGCAGCGAATTGGACACTTCAGAAGTTCATGAAACTAATTGAACAGGAAGGCGTCCATCAGAAACATTTTTCCATTCCCAACATAACTTCCATCAGTGAACGTATTCTTAGAATGGTTACAGCTTTAGGAAAACCTCCAATATCCTAACGCGTTTTTGTGTTCTTTATTTTAACGCGCTATTTTCTAAACCGCTTGTGAAGTTCTCGCACTCGCCTCTGCTTTTATTCGTCTTTACCTATGTATAATTTTAGGCACGTTGCCTGGGCTAGAGGAGAGTCCGTCTGTAAGTCGACTGCTGGCAGACGAGAGCGCAGCCAGATCAGCTGCTGCAGAGAACCTGAAGCTCACGCGACCAACAGCCGCTCTGCAGGACTCCGCCATAGCACAGGTTCGGAAACCAGTACTGTTCTACTGTCCTTCACCCGTCAGGAAGGTCTTCTGAAACAGGTCATGAGTTCCATGGGGTTCACGGCCCTAGTGGCACCCATACACTAAGCGGCCTATCGACAATAAGTGTTATATGTCAGCGGGTCTCACTTGTCGTTGTTAAGTTGCTGCGTTCACAGGATGCTTTTCACTATCCGTTTTCGTCTTCCTCTTGAGGACGATCGTTTGCAGGTCACGTATGTTTTACCAGGATATTAGTTCTCAGTGTGATTCAACTTTAGATGTAAAAAAATTATACTGAATTTAAACTTCAGTAGTCTTGCTGTTATGAATTTGTCAAAGAGAATTTTATAGATGTTAAGACTTAATTAGCATAAACCAATTAAGGTTTCGTGCATTAATTGAAAGGTTTCACACACATTAGTCACGTGGAATCCGGTCGACTCTGAGATTAATTAATTAATTTATTTTTTTATCGCCAAAGTAAAATTAACTTTGTGTGGAAAGAATTTAAACTAACATGCCAGTTTGAGTAATTTATAAAATAATATTCTGTTAATTCACTCGAGAAATAATTTATCTTGGATTGAAATCAACGAACTTGGTAAACTGTTACTTCAATTCATCAATTTAATAAAATCGAGTAAACTGTTGACGATTTTGAACCGGGGTTTATTGCGTGCGTGGTATCGTGTATTTTTACACCTATTAATATGCGATAATAACATAACAATAAAATAATATTGTTTCAATGAACAGGCGGAAGATATTCTTCGGAGGCACGAGAGTCTAGGGCGGATGAACCGACTTCTCCAAGTTACCAAACTGGAGCGAACAAACTTACGCGAAGAGGAGAAACGTCTTCGGCAACAGTTGACTTCCTTGACGCAGGTCACTGATTGGTTCCTTGACCAATACAATGGCAAATAACTTAGTTCACCCGTCCGTTAAGCCTGAGCAAGTTGTTCTAGACAAGCTTGTACAATTGCGTTCACTATGAACATCATCTGCCTCCTAAACTATTTTAGCAAGTAGCTTCACTATTTTCTTTGAGATGCGAGTTTCTCCTCAATTAATTAGTCTATCTATGGGAGTTCCGATATTACAATGAAATATAGTATAAATATTAAATAAATAACGGTATAAAATGGATTGCCTTTCACTGCAGGAGTTACGCGAGCGCATCCACAACATCGGTGCTTCTGACGCTGCTCTGGCCTCCGCCGCTCAGCCGCCTCTACTCGCTAAAAAAATCGAACTTCACCTGGTAGATTAGAATTACTTCAATCAAATTATCTTCCAAAGCAATTTTCATTTTTAATTATTTTGAAGCGCTCTTTTCATAATAAATTATTGTCCATAATAACGATATTTGCAGAAAAACATGCGTTTGGAGGAACTAGTTAGGTGTCATATTATACCAGTCGTCTTCTTTAATACAAATACTATTAAAATAACGTTTCAAATACAGAATACACGCTTCAGTTCCGTGCTTCAACCATAATACTTGGCGTGTAGCTCCTCGAAAACTGGAATACGTTATCAAGTTTATCAAACAAACCCCACTTCAACACATTTTCGAAAATCAGAGCCGTAACTTGGAATTGACCATCACCGTGGAACCTGTTCAATTCTGGTGAATGATACTAACAATGCTTGATCTCTTGTATTTACAGTATTCCAGTAAAATATATTTTACACTCAGCTCTAAACAGAGATTACAATATGAGATGAAAATTTTCTAATGCCAGACAAAATTAAAGGCCTAACTACCCACATTAATAACAACTTTCACAAAACTTACTGGCACAATTCGAAATACCTATCGAGATGAATAAGTAGACAATTTCTATTACTGATGCCGTTGCAAGAACGGGCCAAGGCGGCTGGGTGAAGTTTAAAAATCTGCTCCTCCTTAGGCTTGTGACAAATTTGATAAGAAATATTCAAGCTGAAGATCAAAGTATTTTGTGACTCAAATTGAAACCTGAAGATCAAGCTTAAATAAAACTTTTAAGGCACAATAGCAAGGGAGACGAAGGGTCTAGATCGTGAGAGACTAAGGATTGTGTGGACTTACTTATTTATCAGGATCGAGGACGATTATGACTAAAGATTGAGACGACAAAAAATTTCGCGGCACTGATTCATGCAGCTTAGACCGAGGTGGTCAGAAATACAACTAACCATTTTCCTAGATTAGCGTCGTGTCATTTTTGCCTAAACCGAAGTGCAATATATGAGGCTGTTTGACGATAAGATTTTTACTCCCTTATTTGAGTAAAATACTCCTATCTATTAATAAAGGCAACTTATTTTTAACGGCTAGAACATAAAATTTCTATCAAACACAGACGCTTTTCATGAACACAAAGAAGTCCATCAAAAATCTTTGTGTTAACAAAAACAAAAGTTTCCTATAAACACGCAAGAAAAAGGGTGCAAGTTCTTCATAAACATGTTATGGTGCCTCAAAAAATCATTGTTTTAGTAAAGTAATACCGGTAACCAATAGGATGAAATGCTGATCTCATTCTTTCAAAACAAAAGTAGAGCATAAGAATCTAACAAGGCAGAATGAACTAAAGTGTACAATGATGAATACTACACATAGAATACTATTGTCCATGATCATGAGCACATTCAACAACATTGACGAGAACAACTGAATGGTGTCAAGTCTAAATAACAGAGTTGCCAAGTTATTATTAAATACACCAAGACCACATTGTTAAGTGCAAAATTATCCTCTCAATGCTATAAAATTCCATCAGAGACATCCTTAAAAGTAAAGGAATTACTCAAAACAAGGTGACAGGGTGAAATGTTATTATTTTCCAATGTGTATTCTATTCAAAAACAAAAACTTATCTCTAATTTGATATCTTATGAACTATATTAAAATAAAGCTATTCTGTCTTATAGATTATACTAAAATAAAACTTTTCTCATTTTGAGACATAAAATTGTAACAGTTCTAGTTTATGGACGGAAATCGTTTCACTTAATTTCATTTGGATTCAAATCTCTATTTTGGGATTCTCAAGTTTAAAAGCAACTCACGGCACAAAAAAAAAATGTATTATGGAATGAACACTAAAGACATGCCTATTTGTAAGAGTCTCCTGAAAGTTCACGCAACAAAATCAAAACAATCTTGAAACCCAATTTGTACTGAAATGATGTTGAGCTAGTTGAAAACATGATCTTTTAATGCTGATTACCTTAGCATACAAATTGTTTTTGCAGCAAGCAAAGTTGCTAAGCCTTAGGATGACTTCAATGCAGATATAAAATTACATGAACAATATCCAATTCAAAATGTGTGCCAAAAAAAACTGTAGAAGTAAAATTACCGGTGTAAAACTGACCCTGAGTGTTATTCACTTACAAATCCCATCTAAATGATACAACAGGATCATTGCAACAATTGCAAGAGAGGACATAGTTTGATGTTTTAGCATGAATGAAGATAATATTTCTAATAAGGACATTAACAGGTGAGAGCGTGATTCCATATTTGCAGATGAAAGTGCCATTTAATGCGATGCAACAAGTAGCACACTCATCAGCAGCAGCAGCACAGAAAGCTTTTTGATACTGGCTGGGTTGCAGGCATTCCCTGAGCAGGTGTACACGCATGCATAGTATTGGCGCTCATCCCCAGGACGTGTTACCAACTCGCAGTAGTTGCCAAAATCTTTGGAGGAACAGAATCTGGATGTGCCCAGCACACCTGAAAAATTAAGTTATTGGTAGAGTCGTAGAGACAACTTTAACTGCTTAATTTCATTCAACTGTTTACCAACTTTACTATGAATTTTAAAAACATGGCAGTTGAAAGAAGTATATTGAATAAAGTATTTAAAACTTTTCAGTTTTTTATAAATGATACAAGAAATTGTGATAAATCAGGTCAATCCTTATTCATTATCCTTTGATTGATGTGATCAAAACAATCATAATTTAAATTAATACATTCATTGAAGATAGCCAAAAAAATTTAGAAATGCTGAAATATAGAAAACAAAAATTATTCAAGGATAGCTGTCCAGTTTTGTTAAGCTTAAAATTATTTCATCAATGAAATGTTCATTTTATTTGGTCACACTCATGAGCATTAATGGCATAAAAAGGGCACTAAATGGATGAGAAAATTTAATTGCCTTTCTACAGCGAGAAAATTTTGGAAAATTAAATTGAGAAAATTGAGGTATCAATTTTAAACAGGCATTGCACAAGTGATTTATTCAGCTGATTGATTTTGTAGATGATAGGTGTGTGATATATTAATTTCTAAACAACATTCAACACAAACAACAATTCACAGGAAGGTGCAATTTAATGTAAGATCTACATCCATTCTGATGAAACTCAGTAAATGTGCAGGAACCAACAACAAATCAACATGCACCACATGGAACAGAAATTATACACTTTCTCAAAGAATAATAGTGGCGCTTATTTCATCAATAATGATAAACTGACAAAATGTGTGTGGTAGTCAGTGGAAAAGCTTATTTATATTCAAAAAATGAAAAATTTCAAGTGGATATTAGTGAAGGTTACCATCTCTTACAATGTGAAAAGAAGCAATGTGTCAAGCATTTCAAAGACATTAGCAAAGAACCAGACCTCCATAAATTCCTGTGGTCTTGATACAATATCTAGCAGAATAAACATGATCACAAGGCTCTGCTTGATGCGCCCACAGAGCATAATCTGATTTGTTCTTAGGGTCATGGACATGTTGAGGCAGGCTTACTCCGCAGAACTGGCTCTTCAGGGTGCTGCACTGGTAGCAAAGAAGCGCTGCACACTCTGGCATCAGAAATAGCTTTTCTTCTAATTGCAAAGAAATCAAATATTTGCATTCAAATAGCACTTGAGTTGTACCCAGAGCCCACAAAAGCAGAGTTGGTTCATTAGAAAAAAATTCCTGAGGAAGGAACTAAAATAGAAAATCGCTCCATACATACTATAATATAGTAGTTGTTCCCTGTGGTGATGACAAGAGATATTTACCTTCAAAGAGGCCAGTTTTCTTAATACAATATTGGGGATTCCGGATGTGTGAACAGTTGACAGGTTCAAGATTATGACTGGGAGCTAAGGTCTCTCCACATGTTGTCACATCCTCTTTTGAGCTACATTCATAGCATGACAGAGCCGACACTGCAGTGCAAAAAATAATATAAATGAATTAAAAGGTCAAGATAAAGTAAAAATCAATAAACACAGTTGCCAAGTAATGGAAACAGAATAAAAAGTGCAATCCAGTCAAGGCTTAAGCAAAACCAACAAAAATAATCTACAAAAATATTGATAACAGGCACATATTTGCCTGCTTAATTCTGAAAATATTTGTCAATTTAGGAAAATGCATGAAAATGAGCAAGATATTCATGTTGAATTTTCAAAAATAATCAAAGTCAATGAGAGAACAAAGGCATATTACAAACCAAAAGAATTCAAACATTAAAAATAAACATTATAACAAAATAATTATCAGCCACAGGAAAATATTTGGAATTGTCACTTTAAATAGTAGCTTTGTTTTTACTTTTAAGAAATGAAGTCATGACTCCTAGCTGTACAAAAGTGATATGCTTAATATCTTGCACAAGGTTCTAAACATAATCTCAAGGATCTTAAAGTAGCTCAGTAATGAGGGATTTGAACAAAAATTTCAATGATCAGGACCAGACAGGAACAAAGTATTCTTTGTGTCAAGAATGGATTTTCTGTGCAGGAGTTGGCAAAAACAGGCACAGAATGTGTTGGAATTGATATTGCCTATTTATATACATGTTTCATATGCTTGAATTAGTTGAAAATAAATTCATGGCCTTAGCTTTGCCATACAAAAACATGATGTGTGAGTATAAATTCATCACTTTTGGTATATTAATAATATTTTCTCAATGATTAGCATACAATATCCAATTTAGGAACTTGCTAGAATATATTGCAAAAATCCTGACTTATTTTTCATACGAGTTATGTTTTCAAGCTTAGGTTTTCTAGCTCAAGTAGGGTAAACGCAGTATATTCCGTCACATTAAGGACGCATTGAGAAATGAAAAACTATAAAAAAATAACCGTATGCGTTGCTCAAGTTCTATTTGCTTTATGTGACTCTCAAAACACCGCACTAACAACGAAACGTCACAAAATGTTGCCATATTTATTTAAAAGCCTTTAGAATGCAGACCTACCAAATCCCTATATTCTGTCACTGTGTGTGGCTATATTTGGCACATGGTGAGGCGTATTTGGTCCGCACTTCAAATTCTACTGATACGTAATGCCGTCATCCACGTGTTCAAATTCCGTTTGCTGTGTGAGCTGTATTGGAATACAACACGGCTTTGAATTAGAACACTAATGAATATTGAACACTACTTAATTATGCTTTTAATTAACAACTATTAAGCTTTTAATTAAGCAAATTTTAATTTTTGTACACAGCTTAGAACAATCTGTGTGTGTCAATTCAAATTGTGATGGAATTAGTTTTCATGTGTCTAAATCCATTTCTCAACTTAATCATTTATTAATTTATTTACCACTTGAAATCAGCAAATACAAGTATACTTAAAGGATTCCTAATATATTCACAGATGTATTTAAAAGTCTAAAACCATAATATTCTTCCTATACAAACAGTTATTCACTATTTGGTAGAGCAAGGTCAACTGTCAAATTTGACACATTTTTCGATGATCTCACTGGGTAGCGTGCATTGTCTCTCTTTGGATCTCAATATTTTCCCGCTAGACGGCCAAGACCTAGTGTTTTGGCAGTAGTTTGACGCGCAAATGTATGATGTCACCATTTCAACCATCAACAAACGCATGGAACTAAAACAAAGCTTAATATAAAGGAAAAACTAGAGAGGTGACATAATTACCCACGATGTTGGAATATACCGCGTTTACCCTACAACAATTGCTCCTACTGAGTGTAATATACTCGAAGAGGTACTCGATTCATTTTCATTTTTTTAATGTAGGAAGCAATTAGTTATTTATATAAATGTGACATTTTTTGATATGCAAATGAGTTTTCAATGCAAATGTTTTCTACGCTGCTTGAAAACAGGATTCATAGATGAAAAAACTAAATCAAGGCCCAAAAATTACTTCATCATGGCTGGATTTCCAGACTTGTTTGTAGAGAGTCCAGAATCCAGATTTAAGACATCCTTTATTAATAGAATTTTACTTAGCAAAAAAACACAATTGGAGTAAATTTGAAATTTCATGGCTTTGAATTGAGCATCAATCTGAAATTTTGAGATACTGTAAAAGTTCAAAACTTCAAATTGGTACTACCTAGTTATACCTACTTCACTCTTATTATCATCAAATATCAAAAATAATTAAATTTTAGATTAGCCTTAATTTATCTGAATGTAACTTAAAATTTAATCTAAGAATTTCGAGTGACCATTGTCTTTGATCTAAAATTCAATTATTTAGATAAAATTAAATTATTTAGATCAAGACCAGACCCTCTTGCCATGACTGATTACTAGCAATAGTTCGACCAAATGTCAATCCTAGAATTCTACTATGAGTAGAAAGTAGGATGCAGTTTTAATCTTGCTAGAGGTTCCATTTTCCACTTTATTAATAGAAAAGATAATTTTATCAAAGGCCAGAAACACAAGTGAAGTATCAATGACATTAACTAATTACAGTGTCAGAAAAGTAAAAGGAGTGGCACTGTGGCAGCCCACACTCTGCAGCAGAATTGTCAACAGTCAACGGGTTACGGGATTGGAACAGACTTTGCAATTGATAGTCCAAATGATTAGGATTATCTAAACAGAAGCATTGTGTTGCTTTTTTCCTAGGTGTAGTAACATAGAATTATAGATTCATTATGATTACTATTTACTAGAAAAGCAGAAATACACTATCTTTAGTACCCCTCCATTCTCATGTAAATGATGTAATGTTTTCAGGATATTATTTCAGAAAATATTATGAATAATTTACATAGAACGTACCTCTATGCACCAAATAAAATACCATTATCAGATATGAAGGCAATAACTTGACGTTTGCCATCTTTCAAAGATAAGATTAATAATAACTGAGCGCAGATAAATTCCGACTTCTGTTATTATACACACACACCCAACTGCTTACGCTTGCGCTGAGACGTTATCAACAAACTAACAAACGTTGAGTCACTTGAATGGTTGAGGGCACGTTTGATTTTTTACCCTATAAATATAGTCGATTTGAGCAAAAAGAATTGAAATTTTAGGTGCCATCAATCAACATCGTCGAATTATCAACGAATATGTTCGAGTAAAATCAATAAAATATAAAAAAATTAACGATCCTATCACGTTTAGGTGAACATTGCTAGTAACTGAACATTAGTGACGCCAAGTGTTATCGCATTACATAGTGTTATATTATTATAGTTCAAGCTCAAATTCCTTAATATGATATCGATAAGTTATTACTATTGTCAGACCACTCCAACAATTCTGCGGTACTCCCTTAACGGCCGTAGTGAACGAATTCGTTCAGTCTATTTCAAAGCTATAATATAGAGAAAATATGAGCCTGTGGATTCTGAGTCCGAAGTGAACGCATTGGTACAGTCCAGATCAACATGCCAGACACCGCCACATTGCTCAATTAGGGAATTGTGCTCAATGGGCAACCGTATGTCATGGCACAAATAGGCAAAATCGTTCAGTTCGTATTATCAAGGTAATCGGTGTCTTTTACACCTAAATACAGATAAATGCAACTATATTACTGTTTTAGGCGTAACATTCAAATAGATATAGCATTTTAAACTCTGTTTTGGGGTTGGCAGTCCTTCTCATAATTATTTTTTTTAGATATGGCTATAGGGTTCTTTTATGGATCTTCTGCCAAGAAAGCATCTATTGCTGAAAGGGTGTACATGCATTTGCAAAACAAGTTCAGAGAAATCCCAATGCTACAAAACCTCTGCATTAACGAGCAACTGGTGTCATTCAAGGGGACAAGTTCTCTGAAACAATATATGCCTAAAAAGCCCCATAAATGGCGCTAAAAAATATTTTGTTTGGCCGGTGATGACGGCGTAATCTACGACTTTCTACCACATATTGGAAGAGTAAACCCGGTAAACAAACCAGGCATTGCCGATCTCAAAGCAAGTGGTAATAGTGTTCTTCATCTTTGCCAAAGCATTCCCAGCAATGAGAACCATTTATTATTTTTTGATAATTGGTTTATTCCGGTGCCTTTGCAACAACACTTGGCAGAAAGCAAAATCTTTTGCCGTGGAACAGTTCGGGCAAATCGCGTGCTTTTAATGAAAATTTCTAAAAAAAGAAGATAGAGAATTGATGAAGAGAGGAAGAGGAGCATTTGAAGAGAAGAGACTGATCAGCAAAATATGCGATATTTCATATGTACGGTGGTGTGCCAATCGTGTTGTGAACATGCTGTCATCGTTTGCCCGCTCAAATCCTACTTCTGAAGTTGATAGATTTGACCAAAAACAGAAGAAGCCTCAAGAAGGTCATCAAAGTCACTATTCCAGACATTGTTCAAATCTACAATCGGTCAATGGGTGGAGTAGACAAGGCAGATCAGCTGATTGCCATCACCAGAAACCCATTGAAGTCAAAGAAATAGGTACTACATGAAGATGGTGTTCCACATGTTCGACACGGCTCTTGTCGACAGCTGGCTTTTATATAAGCGAGACACAATCTTGTTAGACATGCCACGTAAAAGTGTCCTTGCACTATCAGACTTCAAGTTTCGCTTAGCATCTGCTCTCATGGAAGCAGGCAAATTAATCAATAAAAGAGGAAGGCCTTCAGCTTGTGAAACTCCTGAGAGTAAGAGGCGAAAACTATGCATGTAACAGTTGTCCCTCAGAATTCTGTTCGATATGATCAAGTTGGCCACTGGCCCTCTGTTGCAGAAGATTGTCGCATTTGCCGTTTTGAAGGTTGTGCAAATCGCATGAATGTTGCATGCACAAAATGCAATGTGCATCTCTGTTTCAATAACAAGACAAATCATTTTGTTGCATTCCACAATCGCATTTTGTTGCATTCCACAATCTACATTATATTTGCTCATATTTTTCCTGCAGCTTTATGTTATACTTATAAGGAACATATTTATTTAGGATATTGCCTCAGTGCTGGCTGTGAAATTTATAACAAGTGCCATTTTATTATTTTTTATTGTGTGAATAAAAGAGGATTTACAAGTCGATAAGACGCTACTATGATAAGTAACTTCTAAATAATCATGTATTTTTGCAGTCAAATATGAGCATATGAGAATAAATTGGTTCTAATTCAACAGTAAAGCTCCTTTTCTGATAACATATGTATTTTCAATGTTTCCTTTGGTGCATGTGTGGTCCTGACTGTACTAATTCGTACACTATTAATATTTTTTTAGTGAAAGTGAATTTTCTTGGTTTGATCATCTATTCCTACTATTATGAGTCAGTAAAGCCCAAAAATCAACTTCAATATTTTTTTTACAAAACAATTCATTGCGCCGGCCGTTAAGGGCTAACAAATAAATCTCCGACTATCATGAGTCTTTGTACTCCTAGATTTTGAGTATACGAGGTGGTGGCAAACAATGATCTGCTGTTTATCCATAATTACTTTATATACATACTTTACCTTTCCGTGGGAAAATATGCTAAAAAAATCACATGTTGTAAGATAGATTGCGTATATAGGGCGATGGTGGATGTATGGCCAAGCTGGATTTATATTTGCAAAATTTATTAGGAGGTACGTAAGCTAGTCACGTATGGAACCGCCAAGAATTACATTGGTTTAGCTGGCCTGCGAAAACAGGGGCTTACAACATGTGTTGAAAGTTTTACCTAGTTTAATATAAAAAAACTCTGGAGCATGACCAGAAGGGTGTTATCTGTGTAGCGTTGTAGCTTGTAATTCGAAGCCTTAATTTAATATTTGACTGATCAGGTGGGGAATCGAAGGACATCTTTTAAGCAGTCAGGAAGAAATTTCATATTGCATGTACTATAAGTGACACATTCGATCCTCGAGTAATTTAAGGGTTAATTTATAGGTGATGTCTGGACCTCCCTTTGCGTAGATACTATTGCTTTGCTCGCCCCTTTTTTAAACAGCGCGATCTTCTTGCATGATGGCTAGCTACAGTGGATCATTAATTAGGAATTATTTACGAATTGAAAAATTAACAGATACTGTAAAATTAAATGTTTGAAACCTCATCATTCATCATTTGCAAGCGTCTATTCAACAATGTGTCATTTGCATGTTGATGACTGCCCCGCTATGCAGGATTAATGTCTGGCAATACGCAATTTTATGTGCTACTGTCAGCAAGTTGATTGATTTGTGGTTATTTTCTTCAGTCGCAACTAGCAAACGTTTGGCTTTAATGTGATTGGAATTTACCAAATTTATTAAGCTATTTGCAACGTCTGAGCGCTGCATCACTACTTTATAGTAACGATATTACTACTCCACATTCGTGTACCACTTTTTTCTAAATAAATATATATTGTACGCATTATACTGATGTAGCGTTATAGTAACGTCTGTCTCAGAAATATATTTTTGAGCAATTTCAAACAAAAACGTCGGAAGAGCTTTTTTTTATCACCAAGGCTACTAAGTAGCAAAAAACGTTAGTAATTTCCTTAGCCAATTTGGTCAGGACTGATTTCGCTTGGTGTATCTCCAACATTGTAAAATAGATATTAATTTGACATTGAGGCGCTAGTGAGCAATAGTGACATTGCTCTTGTGTAAAGTGACGAGTAGCAAAGGTAGAGAAAATTTCTGCCACACTCATACATATTGTGTAAAATCCACTCGAAGAGAGGTCTAAATGATTCATGCGGGGGTTTACAAGGCAGAGTCAATTTCTACCAAATAATACCACCACTATCGAACATACGGATGATTCTTAAGTCAGGAAAGTGCAAGCGACTACACGGAATGACGGATAACTGGTTCAACGAACAACCCCCCGACGTACTACGTCAGCTTCACGTAGAATGTCCGACGTAATACGTGGTTTTAACAAATGACTGGCGGTCATTTGTTAAACCGTCCAGTTTATTTTTCTACATAAGGAGCATCTGCCTCGTGGAGCATGAGGAGCATCTGCCTCTCTTAACATAACATAACTAAACATAGCAAAAAAATTGCGCTGCAACTTCTCCACGCGACAAAATTTCTTATCGCTTCCAATCACCGACATGTGGAACAGCCTCCCCGATGACATCGTTGGCGCTCCAAGTATGAACGCGTTCAAGAACAGACTAGATAAAGCTATGGAAAAATATATGTTCAGATTTGAAATACCTAGCTCCTTATCGAACC